TGCCCTCCCTGGGCCCCGGGGACAGCTCGCCGCGCGGCAGCCACGTGGGGGCGCGGCGGGACTTCCCCAGCACCCGCGCCAACTTTGCAACGCTCTGCAATGAGCCGGGCTGCGGGGGGATGGGAAGGGGGTTGTGGTAAGGTGGTCGCGGGGCCAGCTCTCCTCAAGTTGAGCCTGGCACCTGCCCCGCACGCAACCGGTACGGCCCCCGCCGTCCCATCTCTCTGCTCCAGGCATAAGGAAAGTTTGAAGAACCGGACATCAGGCGCTAGCCACCTCCCCTGGGCTGCTGCGTGCCCAGAGCCCGTCCCTGAGGACCAAAGCAGGACTGCAGGGAAGGTGCCCGCGTCCCGGCCCCGCCTGAGAAGCGAGGGCGCGCAGGGAGCGCCCAGGCGGCGCGGTGACTGACCGCTGGTCGCCCTGGAGCGCGGGCTGCACCCGGCGCTGCCGAAGCGGCAGAACTGGCAGCATGCGCCCACGCAGGGGATGGAGCCTGCAACTGCAAAACTTTATAATGGCAAAGCAAAGGTCTCGGAAGGCCGTCTCCCCTTCCATCATGGGTAGCTCACAGTGGTCTCGAAATGACCTCGCCGAGCCAGATCCCTAGGCCTGGCCGCTTGATCCATGGTGCAAATCCCGTGTCTCGCAACCGGCCACCGACAGGGGCTGAGCTCCAGCGGCAAACCCTCCGCAGGTGCGTCCCCGCAAAGCCCGCCAGCCCGCCAGCGGCTGCTTCCCGGGCCAGAACCTCGGGCGCCGGGGAGCTCTCGGGTGGCTCCCGGGCTCGAGGTTCTGCCGCGTGCGCACTCAACTCCAACTTGCCCCTTCGGCTCCAACTCACCTTTGCGAAGCATGTTGGCCGCGGGGCCGCCACTCCGAGGTCGGCCTAGGCGCGCTCGCTCTCGGAGTCCGGATTCAAATCCTTGGGCGCCGGCTGCAGCTAATCCGAGGGCGTCGAGGCGGGGGCAAGCCGGGGATCCGCTTGTGCCCGGCAGCCCGGCCCCTCAGGGGCATGGTGAGCCCGAGCCCCGCGCCGAGGGCACCGGCGCCCACTAGCAACCGCGGCTCTGCCAGGCAGCCCGGCGCGCTCTCTCAGCCCCGGGACAAGCGGCTTGCGCCGCGGAGCCGGCGGCCTGCTTCTGCAGCCCCGAGCTCTTTGCAGGCGGTTTTGAGGGGGGGACGCCGCCCCCCGGCCGCCCGGCCGCCGGGCCGCGGCCCCCTCCTCTCCGCCCCCTCGGGCCGCAGCCGCCGCCGCCGCCGCGGCTGCTGCAAAAGGGCGCTCGCACGCACCGCCGAGCTCCGGGGAAAGCGCCCGGCGCGCGTTTGCAGGACCCAGCGATCGGCGGAGCGGGGCGCCTCCCTTCCTCCCCCCCCCCCCCGGCTTCCCCCACCTTTCCTCCTCCCTCCCTCCCTCCCTCGCTCGCTAGCTCCCTCCCTCTCGCTCCGCTCCCCGCCCCCGCTCACGGAGCGCCTCCCATACAAAATTTATGAAAGTGCTCTCAGCTCGCGGTGCCGAGCGCCGTCCTATTCCCAGGGCAGCGGCGCTCAGCCGCGCGGCGCCGCCTCCCAAGGTGTTTTCGCTGCGCCCGCCCCCGGGGACGATCCTTGGCCCACGTCGGTCCAAGTAGCTGCCCCAGCCCTTGGGCGGCCGTCGGGCCACTCGAAAGCCCCTCCCGGGCCCCGCGGGCTTCCCGGAGCGCACACCCGCAGCCCAACCCCCGCCCGCTCGCCCTTCGCGGCTGGAGGTCACTGAGAGGCGGCTGGAAGCGTGCGCTCTGCCCACCGGCTGGGACGGGAGGACTGCCGCCCAGAGACCCCGATCACAAGTCTGCACCCTTGCCCATATCCTCTCTAGCCGGCTCCGCTTCCTTCTCGGAGGCTCGACGGCTCCTCCCTGTCCAGGACAGCTCCGGGAAGCCCAGCCGCCTCGCATCCCGCGTCCCAGGATACTATTCTTTTGGTGGGTAGGTGTGGCGCGCCCCCAGGCTGGTCTAGTCCATGCACCTAGCATTCAGGGAGGCCCCGTTGCAAATCCTAGAGAGAGGTAAGGACCAATGTGGGGCTCAGGTGGGCTATCCCCGCCTAGACGGGGTTGGGGGGGGTGTCCCTGATCTCCTTCAGTCTACACAGACCCCGCCCGGGGCTTTCTGGAAAATGCAAGGAGGCACCGCCTAGAAAGCCGGTCCCGCAGGGGGCCAGTTGCACTGAGCAGAGAAGGTTCAGGCCAGGTGAGATCCTGGGTGGAGGCGGCACCCCCTACTGGCCTGGGATAAGAGGGGTCCTGGGAAAGGAGAAAGAGTGGGCTGTCGCTCATTCAACACACATTTATTGTGGGTCAATCGTGTGGGGCATTACTATTCCTAGGGATTCAGCCAATGAAAAAGACAAGGTCCCTGCCTTTGTAGAGTTTAATACAGTTAATAGGCACCAAATGAGAAAAGTCCAGATGAGACAATGCATGGAAGAAAAGCAAGCAGGGTATAGTAGAGAGCTGATATGAGGGTGTCAGGGAGTGCTGAGCCGGTGACATCTAAGAGAGCTAACTGAAGTGAGACAATGAGTTGCAATCCCTTGGAGAAAAACTTGGTATGACTGGAAGGTTCAAAAGAAGACCAGTATCATTCATTCACTCACACATGCATTCAATGGCACTAAGGCTCTGGGTTTCAGCTAACTACATTGGCATGTTGACTACAGAAGCCTAGGGCATAGTTGGGGAAGAAAGACCCACAAGCCATCTTAGAATGTGACAGGAGGAGACACAAAGTTTTGGAGGGGGCTCTGCTAGCTCTGTGAGGGGTGAAGGACGATCAAGGAAGCCTTCATCAAAGGGATGCCATTTAGGTTGGGTCTTGAGGGCTGAGTTCATCAGTCTGAGAAGGAAAAAGGGCATTCCAGGCAGGAGAGAAGGTGCAAATGCTTGAAGGTGAAAAAGTAACCTTGTTCTGAAGATTAAGAAGATTGGTCCATCTTGGGATGGAACTGAAGGTGATGTATTCTTTCTCTTAGCCTTGACCAGCTGCAGGGCTGGACTCGGCCCCACACCCTGCCAGACATTAAAGCTGGTCTCGAAGGCACTGGGTGCTGCAGAAACTCTCTGTGAGAGAACTGAGGCCCAGGGAGGCTGAACAACTCGCTCCATGTCACAAAGCAGATCAGTGCCAAAGTGTAGGCCTGAATTGGGGTATGCTAATCCTCCTTCCAACTCCCTGAGCTGCCTCCCCATGACCCCCCTGCCCCATAAACTCCAGCATCTCAGACAAAGTTGGCTGGGGCTGGGCATGAGTGTGAGAAGCAGCGTTATTTCGGGCCTCAGGAGGGCTGGGTGCTGCTTTGGAGTCCAGCCAGGGGGTGGGGGTGACTCTTAGGCGGGTGTTGTGGTATAATGTGGGGGTGCACTGTGCCTGCCTTCTTGTCAGGCAGTAATTACTCAGCCTGCTGAGTAACTCAGGCAGGGAGACCCCCCCACAAACAGATGGAGGTGTTCTCAGCCCAAGTTGAAGGACAGCCCCCAATGTCCTTCACTACAGTATCTTAGGGGACATGCTCCCTAGACATCACCTGGTTTCCTAATGGGTGCTAGGGCAGCTCGTTCAGCACAAGAGGCTGTGGGGCAACGTTGTAAGAGGATGAGATCCTTCAGTCATCCACAGGCCCCACTTCTGCCTAGGGAAAGGCCCTAAGGGATGGGGTGCCTGCTGGGGAAAAGCCACTACTCTGCTGGAGTCAATCCTCACCCCCTGGGAACTCACAGCTGCAGCCAGAGTTACAGCTGTCCACAGGCTGGGCCGCTGGACTCCGGGGATCCCTGGAATTGAGATTTTGCACTCTGGGAGTTCAAAGAACCTGGGGGAGATGAGAAGTCCAGGCTGGGCTCTTATCAAGGCAAGAGGGGTGTTCCTGGGACCCATGTTGGCCACAGTCCCGTCCAAAGCTATGACTGTCCTCAGAGTATCGGTCGGTGGCCTGAGGGTCAGAGCACTGACCCCTTCTGGTCCTCCCCTCGGCTGCTCACTCTCAGCCAGCCCATACATCCCTCCTCTCTGGGCAGAGGCCTGTCCCTGGCTGCTTGTTTTTCACTTCTCCGTGTACCTTAATTAGGAGTTTCCAAGCAAGGAGGGCCTCCAGGGGAGCCCCAGGCCGCAGAGCTACCTTAAAGGGCCAGCCGTGCTCACAGCACCCCCTCAGAGAGAGGAAGATGGCGCCAGAGGGCTGAACGGGCAAACAGCCCTGGGGACTATTGCTGTATGGGGCAGACAGTGCGAAGGGCCAGTCCGGCAGGTTCCCTGCTCTTCCAAAGGTCAAGGCCGGCTCCCTGGCTGCTATATGCCTTCTCTTTGGGATCCCAGGAGCCCAGGCCTGATCAAGAGAAAGGCTATCTAGGCCTGAGGGGCAGCCGAGGCAGGGAAAACGGTTGGATTGGTTTAGGCGATTGGATTCCTTGGGCTCGCCCCCCGCCTCCCGCCCCCACGCCGTGCCCCGGGGAAAGCACCCTCAGGCTTGGGGCCTTGCCTTGGTAGCAGTTTTTAACACGGGAGCCTTCCGCATCCGCACTGTTGGTTCTAAAGGTAAGGGCACTCTGGCGCTCCAGAAATCAACCCCGGGACTCAGCTTGGAGCTGGGCTGATGGGAGCTGAGTTCTGTCTTGTTTGGGCAGTGGGGTCCTCTGAGGTACGGATTGTGGCCCTACCTACACGGCCTCCACTGCTTACCAGGAGATGAGACTGGGAGAGGAGCAAAAGGGATACCGGGGCGTGTCCCATTCACAAGACCTGGCCCACAGAATTCAGGCAAGGAGTCGGCAAATAGGGGAGCACTGGTCCGGGAGCGCCAGGTCTGGCAAACCGGGAGCGGAGGAGAAGACTGGGGGGTCGGGGGGAGCGCAGTAATGCACTGCTAGGGGCGGGGGAGAGCCCAGCCCTTCCGGGCTGAAGGGGGGAGGGGTCCCGCGGTAGCCCCGCCCCGATCGTCTCCTTCCTGGTCCCCGCCCAGCAAATCCCCGCCCCTCGCTAGCGACCGGCGGTTGATCGCAATTGCCTGAGCTCTCCGCGTTCTTCTAGCGCTGCCTTTTTGGTCTCCACGTGGACAGGCCAGTGATGGCGGCGCTGGCGGAGTGCGTGGCGGCGGAGCCGGGCAGCCGAAACGGCACTGGTAGAGGTGGGTGCTACTACGCTGCGGCCTCCGGACCTCGCATCGCGAGTTAGGGCCCCCAAGTCAGGAACAGAACCATCTCCCGCTAATGGCGGCGGCCTTTCTCCGCCAGACCCGGAAGGCCCCGCTGTCGCTTGCCCCGGCGGCTTTCGCTGGAGCACAGAGGGACGGGTCTTCCTTTTGCAGCCTTAGGGCGCGATCGGGAGCAGCGCTTCGTAGGAACTTGTAGTCCTCAAACCGGAAACGCTGCCCGCTCTGCCTTGGCTGGCACAGGGTGACTCACGGATAAGGCGGACCCGATGGGGAAGGAAAGAGCCGGGCGCGTTGCAGCGGTCATCCCACAAGTGGGCCCACAGGGAATGCCTTCAGGAAAGAGGCACATGGCTTCATTCACCAGGCACTTACTGAGCGCTCACTAACTGCCAGGCCCTTGCTGGATGCAGGGGACAACACGACAGCCTTGCCCTCACGGGTCTCCGTCTACCGGAGACTACTGATGTAAACAGAAGGTCACAGACACGTGATAAAGGAGGAGGCGCCTGACTAGTCCTGGGGACAAACTGAGCTAAGACCAGCAGCTCCCACACCCCAACGACCACAAGGGACTTGCCTTGTCAGAGGAGCTTCTGTGAGGGGCCCAGGGTTCTGGGCTGGTTGTTCCAAGGCCTTTGAAACAACTGAACAAAAACGATGGCAGTGGTAACGTTCAAATATGGTCTCCGGATCCCAGCCTGCCAATGCTAATTCTCCACTGCACCATCATCACTACCATCATCCACCCACAGGCAGAGGGTGAAGGGTCAAATCTGAGAGGATCCCTCCCATAGTAGTTAAGGGCCCTAGCAGAAGTTCTGGCACAAAGTACAGGTTCAATAAATATTTGTTCAATAAATTAATTTATTTACTTATCGCATTCCCAAACTATCTTGTTCCTAAAAAGATAATAGGGGTTGAGCTAAACTGAATTGTGGAGAATAGGGTGCAAATTAAGGGCTGCAGTTTTGCTAATGGGCTACAGTGTTTTCTCCTTTAATCAGACTGTAATTTGTATACCTGCATTTGCCACCGCCAGACTACTAGCCACTAAAGGGCGAGGTCACTTCTGTTTCCTAACCTGTTTGCCCACAGTTCTAACTTGAGTGTGTTCTTTCATTTTTCCCGGAGTGGAACAATGGGACTAAGGAACCTGTTAAATCAGTTAAATGTTTGGTGTTTATTTCCCTTTTAAAAATGAGGAGAGGGAAGAGTGTAGGGATTCATCAGTGTAGACAGAGTCAGTGGGACTTGAGTAAAGAGGGTAAAAGTCTTTAGTACTTATAACAGTTTGCTTATAGATCTCATATCTAGGACCTCAGAACTTCAAGGTGTTCTCAGGGACGGGGGAACATTTTCCTAGACCGCTAGGCTTTTGGGTTTTCCTCAGAGTTGTTCTTTATCAAGGAGCAGTTGTTTGGACTTTTTCCCGTTTGCCCCTCAGTTCAGTCTCCTGGTATCACCTCCGTTCTTCCAAAGGTAAGGGGTGAACTGTACCCAACTCATGGACTCAAGTCTTTGATTCCCAGTAATCTCACAACATGGAACCTAATTATGCAGATCTCTTCCTGGCTTAATGGGTTGTCTTTCCAGCTTCAGAATGAACTCAGTGAGGAAGAAGGCTGGGCCAACCCCCTTGGCATCTGGGATCTGGGCCTGAAACTTGGGTGGTGTTAACAGCTTAACTGGGTCTGGTTCTGTTTTAGGCCAGGTGCCAACTCAGGCCTTGCATTGTCCTAGGTCGAGCCCCTAGGGGCCGCCTGGCCAATCAGCTCCCCCCTGAGATCCTGAACAACCCCCAGCTGCAGGCAGCCATTCAAGTCCTGCCTTCCAACTATAACTTTGAAATTCCCAAGACCATCTGGAGGATTCAGCAGGCCGGGGCCAAGAAGGGTGAGCCCCCAAGCTTTGAGATGGGGTAGGGATGGAGAGGTTGCCTGGGTCAGTCACGGGCACTATCCCCATTCCAGCATTTTCCCAGCCTCTGCTCTCATGTCTCTGCTCTTTCAGTGGCCTTGCAAATGCCTGAGGGCCTTCTCCTCTTCGCCTGCACCATTGTGGATATCCTGGAAAGGTGAGGCTTGGGGCTCTGGAGAAGAAGCTAAGCCAGGACCTTCCCCATGGCCCTTGTAGCTCTGCCTTTTGACATTTTTTCCTTCTGGACCTTGGCCTTACCCTGTCCCTTCACACAACCATACACGCACAAAGGGAAAAGCCAAAACTAAACTCCCAGCCTGCTGAGATCCCAGCCTGTCTGGCTTGGCTTGTCCATATAAATCTCTCTTTCCCTAAAATATTAAGGTGGGGGGTCGGGGGTGGTAGGGAATGAGTTGGTTACAGTATCTTCAAAGCTGGGCCTAGAGCAGGTGCAGGTGGTGGGGCCTGAGGAGGAACTTAAGAATCCTCAGAGCTGACCTGGAATGAGCTGAGTTGTCAGCATCAGGTCTAGCCAAGGGGAACCTTTTTCTCTGGCACATTTGAGGGAGTAGGGCAAAGAGGGGCTTGGTGGGGGAGAAGTGTCTAGGAGATGGTATTCAGTTCCTCTCCCCTCTCTCAAGTTTCTTCATTACAGTGAGCCATCCTGGGGGGGTGGGGGTGGGGAGTACTCAGCCATCTGGAACCAGCACGGGAACAGGGTGGGGGAATGGGGGGAAAGGGGAGGTCATCTCGTGATGGGAACCTCCCACTTCCCTGCTGCTGCCCTCCCCCACTCCGCTTCTCATCCATTGCCACAGACTCACTTCCCAGCTCCCACCCTCTTGCCCCTTGGGGATGCTCTCTGGGGCTCAGGCCAATTTGCATACATTTTAATCTATAAAAAATTAAGTGCTCTGGCTGACTCAGATGCCTGGGCTGCATTTTAAGGAGTTGAATAATCTGCTTCTGTGCACAGACTGATTTGGGGAAGGGGAGGAGGGGGGTTGCTGACTGACAGCAACTCAGCTTTCCCCACCACGCCCCCAGGAGAGAAATGGGGAGACCCCAGTCACCAAGCCAGGCCCCATGCCCCAGGGGCAGGTCTCTCAAGGAAGACCTGGTCCTCCAGCTCCATTCCCGTGGTGAATTTGGGGAGTGCGGGGTCTTCCCCACCCACCCCTGTCCCCCAGTGATTCAAGCCTGGCAGCAGATCCTATGGCAATGTGTTGGCCAGAGCCCACTCTTTTCTGACGCACGAGGTATGTGGGTGGTGCCATGTGCTGTGGGCGAGCTGTTCATGGGTCCCCCCCATCCTGGGCACAGAGGGCCCTAACTAAGGGTGGGGAGGTAGCAGGGGGTCTGGGTGACAGGGAGGCTGTGTGTATCCACCCGTGCATACCCACGCACACCGCAGTGTCAAGGCATGGGAGTGGGTGCCTCCGCGTGTGTGTACATGCTCATTGCTCTGGGTGGGCTGAGTCAGGGCGTCAGAGGTCTGTATTTGACCCTGTGTATGCCAGGCTGAGGGGTGGGGGCCCTCCTTGCAGTCTGAGCTTGGACAGAGGAACCGGGGCGCTACAGAGACCGTCGTCATACAGCGACGGTCCCAGGAGCTGCTGCCAGGACCAGGGGATGTGGCAGCTGGGTCCTGAGATACCCCCACGGGGGTAGGTCTCTCTCCCACCTCACCCTTGTGTCACCGTCTCATTGTTCCCCCTGCTCCCCCGCCCCCACAGGTTCACAGAGGCTGAAGTGATGGTGATGGGCGATGTGACGTATGGGGCTTGCTGTGTGGATGACTTTACTGCAAGGGCCCTGGGAGCTGACTTCCTGGTGCACTATGGCCACAGCTGCCTGGGTATGGCGAGCCGGGACCCCGGCGGGGAGGCAGAGGGGCAGGACTACATGCTAATCCCCCATCACAGTGCCTTGTCCTGCTTGCAGGCAGCAGGTCCCTCCCAGTGTCTGGGATGGCCTTGGCCTTCCTGCTCTGCAGGTAGATCTTTCTTTTGGATTTGGTTGCCTTGGAAACAGTGTTGCTGTCCCAGATGTGGGTGTTTGAAAGACTGTTGGTGGTAGAGCAGCCTGGGCCCCCCCGGCCGAGTGACCGAAAAGGAGCTTCTGAGGGACCTGTGACTGCCCCGCCCCCCCGCCCGCTGCCTACCCACTCCTTGTATCCCTAGGCTGAAGCCACTGGTCCTGGCTGCTCCAGAGACCTTGGCCCAGGTAGGCCCCCTGCCCCTCTTGCCTTCCAGAACAGTCTCCTGACTTCTTGCCTCCTCCCAGTTCCCATGGACACCTCGGCCCAAGACTTCCGGGTACTGTACGTCTTTGTGGACATCCGAATAGATACTACCCACCTCCTGGATTCTATCCGCCTCACCTTTCCCCCTGCCACTTCCCTTGCCCTGGTCAGCACCATTCAGTTTGTGTCAACCTTGCAGGTAAGTGGACAGATAGCAGCCAGCCTCCAGGCTCTTCCTGGGGCCCACGTTAGGTGCCACAGACTGGTCCTCTGGCCCTGGCTCGCCCTCCTCACCCATTTGCTTCCCTTCCCTCATCATCCCTACAGGCAGCTGCGAAGGAGCTGAAAGCTGAGTACCGTGTGAGTGTCCCACAGTGCAAGCCCCTGTCCCCTGGGGAGATTCTGGGCTGCACAGCTCCCCATCTGCCCAAAGAGGTGGAGGCTGTTGTGTAAGTGAAAAATGGGGGGCCAGTTGTAGAGACATAAGAAATGTACCCTAGAAGGGAGCTAGAGGTTCGTTGTATAGGAAAAGAAGCTGAGTCTCAAGCTCTTTAACTGTTTGCTCAAGGTCACCCTGCAAAATGGGGACCAAATAGGGTTTCAGGTTTCCTGTCTCCCTCTCAGGTGCTCTGTCCACCACATAGGAGGCTATGGCCAGGGTGGGGCAGAAATCAGAGGGCTTCATGGGGGGGGGGGTGAGGGATGAGGGTGGGCTAGAAATGGTGGGAATATAATTGGAGAAGATGGCTGGGCACGCCCAGGCTGCAGCCCCATTAATTTAGCATCCGGACAGCTAACAAGCAGGAGCAGTGTGTCTCCTGCCGCCTAATTATTTTCAGTAATGGAAATGCTTAATGTTGTGTGAATGCAGCCAGCCTCAGAGCCGGCAGCTCCCCTGGCGGGGACTGGGGAGGGGAGCCCCATTCCTAGCTGATGGCAGGGAAAGAGGGAGGGGCACTCCCCTGACTCAGCCCTGCCCCTAGACAGGCCCACATCAGGGCCTTCCCCAGCCCAGACCTGGCAGCCCTGTTCCCCAAAGGGCCTTCCCCCCGTTCCTGTGCCCGCATAATTCTGAACCCATAGGTGCCCACCCTTGGGGGCTTCAAGGTGTGTGTTGGAGGGAGAGACACCCTGAGTGTTGGCCGTTTATCACAAAAATCAGTGTGGTCTCCAAGAAAGTAGGAGCTGCCATGGCAGATTGTTCTCTGTGCTCTGCCTTCTCCATGGCTTGGGAAGCTACTTTTAGGGACAGGCTTGATAGAGCCTGGTGGTTAAGCCTAGAGTCAAGTCCCATATTTACTGCTTAATAGCTGTGTGACTTTGGGCAAGTTTCTTAACATCCCTGAGCGGCAGTTGTAGCTATTGTATAATGAGGGTACTATAGGTAGCTTGGAGGACTGTTTGATAGGACTGAGTGAAGTCCTACACGGCAAGTGCTTAGTCCAGGCCTGGTGCACAGAAGACCCAAACCCAGTAAACAGTAGTTGTTACAACTCAATAGCAGGACCTGAGAACCAGTTTGGGCACAGAGAGCCAGTGTATACCCCGAAACTTCATTTACAACATTGATGACACCTTGAACCGTACTTGCCATGTCTGTGTTGAGCTAAGCAAAGGAGAACCTGTCCCACCACCTCTGAGTTAGGATCTCTAGAGCCCTGTGTGGCCTTCCCATGGCCTTGGCTGCCGTTTTACCTGTCCCCCAGAAGGCTGGGGGACGGAACAGTTCTTAGATCTGCATTACATAACTAGAAGGGCCTTATGCTCATCCAGTTCAAACTCCTTGTTTTGCATGTGAGAAAACCAAGGCTTCGGGAGGCCGAGTGATGACTTAGGCCAGTTCGCACACACACACACACACACAGCAGCACATTCATCCAGAAAGTGGACCTCCAGGCCAGTGCCTGCCTTTTCTGCTGCCTCGCCCCACCCCATACTTATCATCCCCTTTCCCTGCCGCAGATATCTCGGAGATGGCCGTTTCCATCTGGAGTCTGTCATGATTGCCAACCCTAGTGTTCCCGCTTACCGGTATGGGCTGAACTGGGCTGACCAGCTATGGAGGGGGTGGGATTTCCCTGCCACTGAAGCCCTCAATTGGCTGAAATTTCCTCATTCCCTGGCCTCTTGACAGCCAACAGTTCTAAGGATCTGAGGTAACTGGGTCCTGAATCCAGGTGTCAGACCCAGGGCTGGTGCTGCACAGTACCCACCCATCCCCTGGGAGTCACACTGAGATCCTAACCCCCCCTTCCTACTTTCCCCTGCTCCAGCTGTGGGACTGAGCTTTCCAGCGACGATCTCTGTTCTCGCCTCTATTCCTAATCACCTACATGGAACCTAAAGATTTAGGAGACCAAGGCTGGGTCAGGGAGCTGTGTATACAACAGGTGCTGTGGATGGCTGTCGCCATAACCCTGATAGCTTCTTTTCCAGATATGACCCATATAGCAAAGTCCTATCCAGAGAGCACTATGACCATCAGCGCATGCAGACCAACCGCCAAGAAGCCATAGCTACAGCCCGCTCAGCTAAATCCTGGGGCCTTATTCTGGGCACTTTGGGCCGCCAGGGCAGCCCCAAAATTCTGGAGGTCAGAGGGCTTGGGATGGCCTCTGGAGGAGGGAACTGACTAGAAACCCAGCTGGGAAAATCAGTAGACTAAGGGATTTGGACTTGGCTGCTCGATCATGGTGACCTGAGCTTGGCCTCCCTCTTCCAACAGCACCTGGAATCTCGACTCCAAGCCTTGGGACTTCCCTTCATGAGGCTGCTGCTTTCTGAGATCTTCCCTAGCAAGCTTAGCCTACTTCCTGAAGTGGATGTGTAAGTTTTCTCACCTTACCTCTCTAGCTATGACTCTGGCTAAGGAAGCTTAGATCTGAGTCCTGCCCTGCACATATAGAAGGCTGGAGTCAGTGGGAATTGCTTCCATGAAATTTTAATGTTTACAGAGCACTCAATTCAGCAGGGGCTACCCTTGGCTATGGGTCACACCCATTTCGGTTTGGGGGCTCACAGGTAACTGCAACATCACAGTCATTCGGTGTGAGATGAGTTTGTGGGGTGGTTAGCACCTGCAGTGTACCAGAACTAAACTGAACTTGATTCTGAGGATACGATCACTGATGAGCTGCCCAGGCCCTGCCCTCAGCTTACAGAGAGCTCTCCTGGAGAAAACAAACAGCACTATAGTGTTACTCTGAGCAGTAGTAGGTGACTCTCTTTTCATTGGGTGTGTTGGGGACACAGTCATGTTTTTCAGCATGCTGCCCAGAAGGAGAGGATCCCCCCACCCTTGGGTCTGACCTAACTTCCCTTCCCAGGTGGGTGCAGGTAGCATGTCCACGCCTTTCCATTGACTGGGGCACAGCCTTCCCCAAGCCACTGCTGACACCCTATGAGGTAACACTAAGTTTTGAAATACTTGAGAGTGGGCTTTGCACCTGGTTCTGTCAAGGGAGGGATCTGCAGTGGGGTGAGCAGCAACTTAGTTACAGCTGACTCATTTCCTAGCTGTGTGGCCTTGGGCAAGTCCCTTGACCTGTGTGAGCCTTGACTTTCCTTTCTGTGGTATGGGGATAATAGGACCTCCATAGGCCATCGTGAAGGTTGAATTAATTAATCCTGCGCAGAAAGAGTTGGCAAAGGGGCGCCCGGGTGGCTCAGTCGATTAAGCTTCTGCCTTTGGCTCAAGTCATGATCTCAGGGTCCTGGGATTGAGTCCTGCATGGGGCTTTCTGCTCTGCGGAGAGCCTGTTTCTCCCTCTCCCCCTGCTCTTCTCTCTCTCTCTCTCTCAAATAAATAAATAAAATCTTTAAAAAAAAAAAAAAGTTGGCAAATGTCCGGTTGTCCTCCCCTAGGCAGTGGTGGCCCTGAGGGACATATCCTGGCAGCAGCCCTACCCTATGGACTTCTACGCCGGCAGCTCCTTGGGGCCGTGGACAGCGAACCACGGACGGAACCGGCCCCCCCAGGCCCTGAGCCCGCCAGCGCTGGAGAAGGTAGGGAGGACAGAGACCAAAGGCAGGGCCTGGCCCTGGCCGCCTCCCTAGCGACGCGAGCCGAGGCCGCCGCCGTGCGGCCGCTACGGGAAATGTAGGGGAGCAGGGTGGAGGACGTCGCAGGATGGAGACCCTGAGCAAAGTCCGCGACCTCCGATGCAGGAGGAGGCCACGCACCCCTCTCCAGCCGCGGCTTGCGACGGTCGCAGCTGCAGAGACGACAAGGGAGCACCGCCCGCTCGGTGAGACGCTCCTCGGTCTCAGGTATCCGCCCCTGCTCCGGCCGCGCCTGACCCCTCCCCGTTGTTATGGGAACACCCGCTCGCTCTGAGGCCCGCCTTCGGGGTGGTGCCGGCATTTGGTTCCGCCCCGCGTATATTCGATTTCCGCTCGGGGAAAGGCTGCTTCCGGTCCCTGGCGCGTTGCCCGGCAAGATGGCGGCGCAGCAACCCCTGCGGGTGTTAGCCCTGGCCGGCTTCCGGCAGAGTGAGCGGGGTTTCCGCGAGAAGACGGGAGCGCTGAGGAAGGCGCTGCGGGGCCGCGCCGAGCTCGTGTGCCTCAGCGGCCCGCACCTGGTCACGGATGCCGCGGGCGCCGAGGGTGCCGGGCCGGACTCCGGTGAGACGGGCCGTGCCCGGGAAATGCCCTCTGAGTCTTTGATCCGGCCTCGTTTTCGGCATACCCCCACGCTGTATCCTCACCTCGTTCCTTCCCCCTGCCCATACTTTTCATTTCTTCCATCCCGGCGTCCCAGGCTTCCACCTTGATCAGTCTTCCCCGTCTTGCCATGCTACTCTGATCTCCACTCATTTCCCCCAGATTTTCTCTTCGACCGCCTCTTTGTTTGCTCGTTGTCATTCCCAAACCCTTCGTCCCCTCCCTTTTTCATTTCTCATCCCCTAGATACCCGCTTGCCCTAACCCCATCCTTTCCCCCATATCGCTGTAGAGCCCTGCCTTCCAGAGGAGCAGCCCCGAGGCTGGTGGTTTTCAGAACAGGAGGCAGACGTTTTCAACGCCCTGAGCCAGCCCACAGTGTGCAGAGGTCTGGAGGAAGCCTTGGGAACCGTGGCACAGGCACTGAAGAAACTGGGGCCTTTTGATGGGCTCCTTGGTTTCAGCCAGGGGGCCGCGCTAGCAGCCCTTGTGTGTGCCCTTGGCCAAGCTGGCGATACCCGCTTCCCCTTGCCAAGGTTTATCATCCTGGTATCTGGTTTCTGCCCCCGAGGCCTTGGACTCAAGGAACCCATCCTTCAGGGCCCCTTGTTACTGCCTTCACTCCATGTTTTCGGGGACACTGACTGCGTCATCCCCTCTCAGGAAAGTATGCAACTGGCTAGCCGATTCACTGGGGCCATCACCCTCACGCACTCTGGTGGCCACTTCATTCCAGCAGCTGCAGCCCAGCGCCAGGCCTACCTCAAGTTCTTGGACCAGTTTGCAGAGTGAAAGATCCAACAAATGGCTCTGTCCCTACATCCCCCACCTCCACATGACTTCGGGACAGCCTCTGTAACCAGTCGTCCCCCTTACCCCACCTCCCCTGGGAGCTCAACTGCTGTTAGTGTTCCTCACCATCACCAATTAAGAGACAAGTATCAGTTCTAAGACTCAAATTATTGTAAGCCTAGCTCTACACTCAAGAAAAAAGGGATCAGGAGGCCTTAGTGGACCTTGACATCTGATAGTCCAGCATGAAAAAGGCCAGTGGACCCCTGGATGAGTGGAGGGTGACATGGGGGCTGGTGCTGCTGTGACTGCCACATAATAAAGTGGTGATGGCGATTTTGAGCATCTTTTTTCTCATACACACAGAAAAACCCATTTTGTAACAGAAGTCTGGATTCCTGGCCACCCACCCAGCCTCTAGCACTGCTCCAAAGAGGGACGTGTTTCCAGTTATGAGCCCCCAGGATAAAAGCTCATGTGTGCACACATTTGGTAGAAGTGTCTCAAGTCCCAAGCTGAAGGAAAGGCGGCCTTGGTGGCGGAGTTGGAAGAATTTACATCTGAGTTTTGGGAAGAGATCACCTGGCAAGGTGCTGCCTGGGCGCCATGGAGTTAGGCTTCCTCCATCTTGATCCCTGAGGGTTGTGTGCTGGCCTTCTGTCGAACTCTGGCTTCTAGGGTTCTCTGCTTTCTCCTCCAGAACTGCTTTAGCTCTGAACTATGAGCTTGCAGGGTGGGATGGTAGTAGACCTTGGGTAGAGGCCCAAGACCACACGGAAGAAACCCTTTTACAAACCTGCCCTCACCTACAGAGTTTCTGGGGTTGATCTGCTACTCTGTAGTGATCCAGCCAAGGCTTGAGTAGCCCCTCCAGTTTTAGAGTACATTTGTTCCTAGGCACTCTATATAGACTGTCCACTTTAGCTATTTGCCCTACTTCCAGTTCCCCCACCTGTGGCCCACCCTGCTCTCTGATTTCAGCCCTGCCTCTGCAGGGTCACCACTTGTTCCTTTTCTGGAAGATCACAGGAGGCCCTGATCTAGTCCTCAAGCATGGTTGCCCCCAAGGAGTTTAGGAATTGAGTAGGAATTGGGTTAGGGGATGTAGCACAAATACTCCAGCCCACCCTGAGACAGACTAATATCCCTTAAATTACCCCAAATCCTGAATTCTTCACTGCAGATAGTAATTAAGAAAAAAAAAGTTGGAGTTACACCCCCACCCCCAACAGACCCAGTTTGCTGGATTTAGGACCTTTACAGCAGAAAGTGGGGATGGGAGGATAGTTCCCCCTTCCTACGGTATGCCTCTGCTTGCACTTGGTGTTTTATTTTTTTTTATTTTTTATTTTTTTAAAGATTTTATTTATTCATGAGAGAGAGAGAAGCAGAGGGAGAAGCAGGCTCCCAAGGAGCAGGGAGCCCGATGCGGGACTCGATCCCAGGACCCTGGGATCATGACCTGAGCCGAAGGCAGACGCCCAACCATCGAGCCACCCAGGTGCCCTGCACTTGGTGTTTTAAAGGGATCCTTTCTTTGGCAAAAGGAGGGGACTCAGAAATGGGCTGAATTACTCCAACAGACATGTTGAATTTGGCCCATAGAATTTTAGAAAATTTTGGACTTACGGTATTTAAAATCTTAGGAATTTCACACACAGAAAGTCAGATTCCTGGCTTCTCTGGAAATGAGCAGTTCAGAATGGAATGCAGTGGATCTGCAGTTGGGAGCTCACGCACCCCCATGGCCATCCTAGGCTGCCCCCTTTAGCAAGGTCCCAAGAGGTGAAAATGACAGTTGCTACCACAGCCCTTGCTACTTGGAATTACTGTGAGGATTAAAAGAGAGAACAAGGTATGATGGGGAATGGATTTTAAGCCAGGCCTTAAAGTTAGAAGGATAAGGATAGAGCGGAACAGTATTAGGTGGAGCAGAAGTGCTCAGTGCTCAGGGTGAGAATTCTCCCTCCTCCACCTCCTGCTTCAAGAATCAGAAAATGTCCAAGCTAGAAGGAAAGAGATCATGTGGTCCACTGGTTCCCAACGAGTGAGATGTCCTCTCCCGTCACATCCTCCAGGAACAACAGAGAATCTTAAGGGTCATTGCCCCCCACCCCGCACACACATTCTGTGGACCACTTGCGTCAGAATTGTGTTAAAACTTAGATTCCTGGGGCCAACTCCTGACCTACCAAGCCAATTGCTGGACCCAGGAATCTGCATTTTGGCAAACTCCCTGGACATTCCCATGCAACATGATATTTGAAAAACATTGCCTTAGAGGGTAGAATACAAGTCTCTGGTAAATATGTGCTATTTGAAAAAAACGAACATGGGATTCTCATGCACTCCACTAGGGAGGGGGAGAAAGCTCTCCAATTAAGAACCATTCATCTAATGTTTTCAATTTATATCTAAGGGAAATGAGGTCCAGAGGATAGAAAGAGGAATACCATTTATGGTGTGCTAACCACACCAGATACTGTGATAAGCAGAATCCTTAGAGTTGCCCAATTTAATCTCACAATTTCCTGAGGTAGATACTATTAACTTAATATTACAACTGAGGAAACAGGCACAGAGAAGTTAAGTAACTTATCCAAAGCTGGATTCCGATCCAGAACTCACATTCCTAACCTTTACTAGTCATGGTTTTCTCTCCTGCACCTCAGAGGTGAGCAGAGGCCACCCACACCCGCTACTGTTGGGCTCTCTGTCCTGTCTGGGTCTCACCTTCCTAATCCATAAAATAGGATGGGGTGCACTTAATGAGTTATAAGATACTAAAAAATTCTCTACAGCCAGTTTTCTGTTCCCCCTGCCCCCGACCATCTTCTCCAGATGGGTTCAAACTGCAAACAACTTGGTCCCTTCAGAATATCCCTCCCGTTTCCCTTTTCTACCTCTCACTCCACCTTAGATACCTAAAGCTCTTGAGAGAGAGTCCCTGAGCAAAGAAGCCCCTCAACAGGCCCCGCTCAGAAAGATGTGCCCCCTTCCCCTGTTCATTCTGCCTAAGTGCCCAGAGCTGGGGTCTCCCCATCAACACCAGTCTCTCACAAAGACATAACAGCCTAGTAGAATACTTAAGATTGAAATAGGCTTCTGCAGTTTTCAAAGGTTTTTACTCATGTGATCCTATTTGATCCTTAACAACAAATCTGCCAAAGAGGAATGATTATTATCCCATGTTACTCAAGACTCAGAAACCCAGCCCCTTAAATAATAACCAGTTGGTGATGAGGCCAGGTTGGACCTCCTGCTTCCCAGTGCACTAGTCTCATCTGCACATACTACAATCTGCCCACCGATGTCTACTGGATTCCAGAATCACGTACATTTAATCTAAGACCTCGGAGTCCTTGAGTGGGAGGAAGGAAGCATGTGGGAATTGATTAGCTGTAAAACCAGCACCAATTGCCTTAAAACTAGTTTAGCGAAGGAGGGGTTATGGAGAGGTAACAAAAAATTGGATTAATGAGTGGCAGGACTGGGTTGCATTAACCATTCCCAGCACTGTCCCTAGGGAAGTCCTGCACCCAATATGCATCAGTCAGCCCCTGCAGTGGGTGATGTTGGCGGTGGCAGGTGACATAAGCGTGTTTTTGAAGAGTTTGTGGCTCCCGCTTCACTGGACAAATAGGACTTCAACCCCTCTGATATTCACTCTTCCACATTAGAGCGTCTCTCAAATTATAATCCAGCACCGATTGAGGTGAGGCTGCTTTTAGACAATGCTTTACTGACTGGGTTAACTTTACAAGCACACTAGCTTCCTGAGGGTTGGGGACACTTCTTATCATCCTACATGAATCAGAGGATGAAAGAGTGAGGGAAGGCTGTAACTCCA